AAACAAGTAAAATCAAAAATTTTTTACAATTATTATTAAATTATTATAATATGATTAATTTTATATATTAAAAATTCTATTCTATCCAATATAATATAATTATTGCTTTATTTAAATATTGATTAGTTTAAAAATACAAAGAAATAAACTTTTTAAAAAATAATTAATATTTACTATATTGTATTATTATATTTTTAAGAAGAAATATAAAAAACTTTATAAACGATATGAATCAACATTATTAATATAAAAATTGATTTATATGTGTTTAAAACTTTTTTGAGGATATAAAGATGGAAAAATAACAATATTTTTTATAAATTATCGATTTTAAAAATTACAAATTTTTAAGATCAATAATAATTTATAATAATAGATAAAATGATAGAAAATTATTTAGATAAACTATATGTTTAAAATAATATATTAAATTATAAAGAGTTAAAAAATTTTCTAATTTATTGCCTAGACTATTTATCAAAAAAGTTAAATACTAAGAATTTTGACCAAGTTCTATATTTATAATAATTGAACAAATTAAATGATTATTGCTAGGAAAAGGAATATATTATTTGATATTATTAAGAGAATTATTTAATTTTATATAAATTTTTACTTGCTAAATTTATTTAAATGGCTGTGAAGAAGAGAATGATTGAAATTAATGAAAAGAGTTATACGGCCTTTTAAAGTATATTAACACATCTGATAATTAGTTTTAAATCAAATATTTTTTAAATCAATTAATCAAATACTTTATTCTTAAAACAAAAACAACTCCTTTTTATATTCAGAAAAGCAGATAAAAACAAAATTTAAATAAAACAAATAAATTATCAAAGTTCTTTTAAAATCCGATAATATTTTTCCAAATTAACTCTTTAAATAAAAAACCTTGTTTCGAAGTTAAAACATTTTTGTATATTTTAAGCATATTTTTCATATTTTTCATGTATTTTTAATATTCAGAGTATAAACATTAGTAACATGGTTTGCAATGGTTCACTATGATTAATAGTGAAATGTAATAATTGTAAATTATTGTTAGTAATACGCACATAAGCACACCATTCATCAAAATTTATTGCATTATCTATTGGACAACACCTTTAATTATTGGTAAAAGCGTGGAGGTAGTTATATTAGGCACGACATGCAAAATAACAAACCCATCAAACCAAATACCCACATCTATATTTTTGACCGTCTATTACAATAGTGTATTTGTTTGTGTTTTAATAAATTTCCATCAATATAAACAACCATAAAATTACATGTAAGGTGAAATGAGTTATCTATGGCAAATTTCAAACAATACTTTTGAAGATAATTAATTGTTTTTATAAAAAATTTATTTTCTCACGTTTACCTTTGACTCTATCTGTACTTGAGTTTGGTTGTAAAATTATTTATAAAACACGTGTAGTATGTTACATAGAGGTACATTGAAACTTGTTCAATACGAATAGAAATGTATTTACTGTAGTTAACACATCTATTGTTGGAGTACTTAAATACTACTTGCATCTATTTGTAGAATATGATAACTTTTTTATATCTTGTTGACGAGACACACACTTTGCGTATACTTTCATATGCCCTTAATGTGCATAAATTTTATTAAGTTTTCAACTGGTCTGTGTAAAAGCAATTTATACACTCTGTTATACCAATGATATACGAGTTAAAAATTTTTAAAAATTATTATATTAGGTTTTTTTATTAATTTTATTTGTTTTTTAAGATCCTTTTCCCCAAAGTGATAAAACTTGATTTAAAAAAATAATGATTTTATAATTTAATATAAAAAAATTGTTCTATTTAACATTTTTTCTTATTTCATTAGATTCTATATTCAAAAATTTTATAATTTTATAGATTTTAATTAATAAAAGGATTTTAGTTGAAGATAGTTTATTATTTGTAAAACCACTGTTAAAAATTTTGTATTTAATTTATGAAAATATTTATTAAATTATATACAAACAAAATGGTATTAACACATTGCTCTAGTGAAAACATCAAAAGGAATGAATAATAACAAAAAACATAAAACATCCTTTAATTTTGTTTTATGCTATTTTTTATAAATTTTAATAAGAACGGAATTGTAGAACGTAATTTTGACTTATTTGTGTTATACCAATATTGGTAAAATCGAACGAAACCGAAAAATTTTAACTTTTTGACCTATAATTGATTATTTTTGGAACGAAGTTTACCGAACAAGTTCTAGCACTAATATTAATTTTTTATTTAATATGAGACTATTTTTAAAAAAGCTTTTAAAGATAAAGATACTCTTTATTCATTATTGGTTTTACATTTAATTTAAAAAACTTTAATGTAATTTTTTAAATACCGCACTATATTTATATAATCTGAAACGTTTTTTTGTTTGGTTTTTTGATAATCAATATTATACTAACAACATAATAATTAATTAAAGATAATATTTAATCATATATTACTTAAATCATTTAAAAATTTTTTAGTATATTTTTGATTAATAAACTATTATAATTTTACTCAATCTATACACCATTAGAATAAGTTTAGGAATGATATTTAAAGTAAATATTATTAAAAAAGCAAAAATTTAAATTCCACTTTGTTAGCAAATCTATTTTTACTAAAAAGTTTTTTCCTAATAAACTTCAAATATTTATTTTTACATAAATGGATTAAAAATTAAATAGTTCGTATTTATATTTACATCAAAAGAACTTTTATTATTAAAAATTTTTAAAGAAGACAGAATATTATTGCGAAAAAAATATTATTAGTTGTTATTAATCAATAATGTTTTTATCTTAAAATTGAATCGTTTTTGTAAGAAAATCACATCTATTTAATTTTATTTGTAAATTCAAGAAAATATCTACCAAAAGTCAACCAAATTTTATTTTTTAATAATAATAACATTAGTGGATGGATGTTTTAAAAATGTTTAGTCAAATTAGATATTTTTATATTATTATTGGATATGTCTTTAATATCATGAAGTTAAATTACAAATAGATTTTCTTTTATTCTATATTGACAAACGTCTTGTTCTGCACAGGTTGTTAATTTAAAAAAACAATAATTTTGTTTATATATTTAATAAAAGAATGATATTATATTATTTTTATATGATAATAAATATATAAAAACTCTTTAATTATCAATTTAAAAGATTTAAGAATATTTTCCTAAAAAGTTTTATTTAAGAATTATATATAACTAACTATATCTTATCAAAATTTTATATAAAAATATCGAATAAAATAAAGTATGAATGAAAGTGATTTTTTGTTATGTAATAAAATTTAAAAACAGTATTATACTTTTTAATTAAAATTATTTATAAATAATTGAAGAAATCGGTAGAGGATGAACAACCAAGTTTATTTAATTTATCACTTATAATCTCTCTATTATCATCTTTGACTCTCTTATCATAATTGAGCCTTTTTAATATTATCTATATCATCGTCTTTTCTGTTAATATTCATGGGTAAAATACTATAAAGAAAATAAACATAAAACCAATGAGAATTTTTTTAAAAAATTACATCACTTGGTCTAATAATCTCAATTATTACGATAATTATAAAATAAATTTTTTCCCTAGAGTTGTAATAGTTTATCAAAAAAATTATGTTTTAGAAAAATTGATAAATTAAAATTAAAAATTAAATTTACTAAACCCTGGAAATTTTATAAATTATCATAGGAATAATAAAGAAAGCAAGTAACAATTCAAATATATAAGGAATGAATATTTTAAGAGTATTAACATATTCTTTCACAATAAAAGGATAAGTAAACCTCTTATATAAAAAATCATGTACAGTTTTATTATAAAAACCATTCACATTCGCTTTTTTTAGATTTGAAACATAATAATCAACATTAAAGCTTAAATTAGTTATTAAAACAATATAAGCCATAATAAATATCCGCATTCCACTTCTAAGAAGATTCATGTTACCAGAACTAATATTGAATAATATATCACATATTTTCCCAAACAAATCAACCCTTAATATTGTTGTTCCTAAAGACATAAAACATAAAAAGAAAACTATTAGCAAATTAAACATACTTCTATTAAAAAATATTCCCAATAACGGAATAAAAAATACAAAGTAAAAGTATAGTGCAAATGGACTGATTGCAATAACTAAATAAATCAGCATTTCAAAAATATTCAATCTTCCACTCCTTACATAATAAACTAAAGTGTAAATGAGATTTTTATCATATTCAATTAAATCATTGATATATTCATCCGAAAAAAACAATATACTTAAAATAAAAATATATAAAATACCATATAGTGTATAAAATAAATACTTATTTTCTATCTGATCATAAAACAAACCTATTATTTTATAAATCTCACAATAAGTATAATCATCTGCTTTTTTTCTTTTAATAATTTTGAATAAATTGTGTCTGGTAAAAAATCAAAAATAGGACTATCAATAACTCTCTCATATGTTACAGAATAAAAGAGACACTGCTTTATAATATAATAATACATTAAACAAATTGAAGTAGATAAATAATATAACTTTCCTGTTTTGGTGGTAGAAAAACAACAAATAATGTATGAAGTAATTCCTAATAAAAATACTAAAAGTTGTATAATTAGAAAAGTTATTTTAAAAAATCCTAGAGAACTCAATAATACTCTCCATAGATTTTTAAAGATGTAATAAGAAATTCTAAACTTAAAAAATGATTTCTTTGGATTTTCTTTAAATGGTATGTATTTTACTTCATTTTGAGCTTCACTTTCCATCAAATAATTTTTCTTACATTCACTTATTACTTGATTCATAAATGACTCGTTTTCATCAAGAATGTAACATAACTCAATCAAATCTTCAGCTGTTTTAATTGATATGTTAAAATGATTACTGAAATATTTACTAAAATTTTTAGTTTCTCCCTGATAAACTACTCCATGTTTACACATTACTATCAACCTGTCAATATAACTTAAAATTTCTGGATTGGGTTGATGAATTGTTAAAATTATACACTTATTATTATTCCTTGCACTATTTTTTAAATCTTCTAACATCCTATGTGCTGTACATACGTCTAAATTACTTAATGGTTCATCATATATTTGTATTTGTGAATTTAATAAAATACTAGAAATTGTATTTACCCTTTCTAATTCACCAGTTGATAACGTATCAAGTAGTGTATATTTCTTGTTTAACATACCATATGTAAACAATACATTATTAATGTATTTGAGTTTATTAATGGTTACTTCAATACCTTCCATATAAAGTTGAAATTTTAAATGTTCAATGACGGTAAGTTTTTTTAAAGAATGTGTAAATTGTGATTTGTAAGAAAGGTATTGATTAAAATATTTAATCCCCACTTTCTCGTTGTTTATCCATATTGTTCCTTCTGAAATTTTAGTCTTAGAGTATTGCATACTTAAATAGTCAAAAAGTGAGGATTTACCAGACCCAGATGGTCCTATTATCCCCAAAATCTCTCCCGTGTATGCTACCCCATAAACATCCTCACAGATTATAATGTCATCATCGGATCTTATGTTAACTAAATAATTAATTTTAGTTCTTTTTTCAACTTCCTGGTCTTTTGCTTGTATCATTATTGGGGTAAAAAATAATTTTTTTTAAAAATGATGTAATTTATAAAAATATTTAAAAGATTGTTTTTAGTGGTTTTAAGAAATAAAAAAGTTCATTTTAATGTTTTTAAAAGAACTATTAAATTTTAAATAAATGTTTACTCACAAAAATTATTATAAATAATTGTAAAAAAATGATTGAAATTGATGAAAAGAAATTAAAGACATGTTTAGAGTATTTTAATACAACTGAGTTAATTATTTTAAATCAATTAATTTTCATTTTCCCCTTTGTATTTATTATTTTTATTTTACGTGTATGTATTTTGTTTATAAAATAAAACATTTATCCTTAATTATTTTAACAAAATGAGTAACAAAAAACATTTTTTTAAAAATGAATTTAAACTAATCAGAAACAAGCTACTCCTATTGAAATAGATAATATATGAGGATACATAAATTCATTTAATGAGTATAAAAACATAATAATAATAATATTTTTACATGATTTAGAATTTTTAAGAAAATAATTTTTTTATAAGTGTTTTTTATTTTAAACTATTTGTTTTAGTAAAAAGATATCTTTATTATTTAAATAAGTTTTGATTAGTTTTTTAAGAAAATGAATTGATTTTCAAAAAAACTAAATATTTTTTAATTTGAATAGAACGTCTAAAATCATTTTATAAGATAAAAAGATGTTAACATTGAGAATAACATAATATTGTGTATTGAGATAATTAAGTTGATCAATTAAAATTAGTTTATTAATTAATTAATTTTAATTGATCAACTTATTACCAAATAAATAAATTAAAATACCAATAACTGTAATCAAAATAATAATAACTATTTTAACAATCAATAAATGTTAAATTATAAAAATTTATACAATTAAAATCCTAATTTATTTTTTCTTAGTAAATATTTTATAGATCTTTTCATCAATTTTAGATCTTTCTTTTTTAAAGTTTTCTACAAACTCAGTGATTGTATCAATACATTTCTTTTTTAATTCAATTGATGTCATAATTCCTTTTGAATAACTTTCCTTAATAGCAGCTAATTCATTATCATCTTCTAAAAAGTATCTAAGATAATGGAATGACATATCAACTTCAGGATTACCACCATATTTTCTATGATCTTTTAAAGTAGCTTGTCCACCACTAAAGGCATTATTCATAATCTTCTTAGCTATCATTTCCTTAGTGTCATTTAAAAATATTGGAGTACTATCAGTTGAACTGCTCATCTTCTTATGATGACCACACAAATCAGGAAGTAATTTAACATACAATGAAGTAGGTTTTTTTTCTTTTAAAATAACAGCTTTATCTCTAACTAATCTAAAATAAGGATCTTGATCAATAGCACACGGTATTAAACATAATGCATCTTTATCTAAAAAGTCAAAAGTAGAAGCATATGCTGGAGCCATCTGCAATGCAGGAAAACTTATCATTCCAATGTTAGTTAATTTATCATCAAAACCAAAAACTGGTAAAATTTCACTAACTTTTGTTACTTTACAAATTCTTAAATAATTTTCTATTAATATTGGCATACTCTCACTATTCATGAATATAAAAGTGAGTTTAGGATCAAATCCAAATGCAATAATATCTTTAATATTCTCAATTGCATATTCTTTAATTTGTTCTCTAGATTTAATAAAATCCTTATAGAGATATTTCTCATCATCAGTGATTTGAATCACAACATGACATTTAAAAATCTTCTGAAAATAAACACACAAAATAAACGGTAAACAATGTCCAAGATGTAAACTTTTGCTACTTGGTCCTCTTCCAGTATACAAATAAACCTTCTTTCCTTCTTCAACATGTTTTAATAACACATTAAAGTCTCTATGTGCGTAACACAACTCTCTTCTCATAAATCTATGAAGCTTTTTACCAGTAATTCGACTAAATTCTTCAAACAAACTGTGCTGTATTTTAAGACAACCGAACAATTCAATGACATGATCATAATTTATTGCTTTCTTATTCTTATTCTCTACATGAAATGGTGTTATTTTGGTCGGTTCTTCTTCCTTTGAATCTTTACTTGTTTCTGTATTATCATCTCTAAATATCATTCTCTCTCTAATGAGGGCTAAAAAATAAGTAGTTTTTTTTAACAAATCATTTTGATGAAAATTTAAGCTAATTTTTGATTTAATTAATTTGATTAAGAAATAACTCTTTTTAACATCAATTAATTATAGACGTTAATATGTTTTGAGTTATAAATAGAATTTCTTTAAAAAATAAAATATTTTGATTTTATTTACCACATAAACAAATGTTTCTAAGTGTTTTAATTTTACAAATATGTTTTTACGGATCTGTTATTTTAATAACATTCTTATTTCTAGTAAATTATTATAATATTGTTCAATTTAGATCTTATCATGAGAAGTTTCTTCCTTCTATTGTTATCAATTTTAAAGAAGAAATAGATATGTTTATATACACATAAATAAAATTTTTTACATAAAATATACTTTTATAAAATTAAAGAATATATTTTTTTATTAAATTATTTTATTATTAAAAATAGCTATGATAATTACTTGAGTTAAAATCTAATATAACTTTTTTAATGATTATTTGTTTTATTATGTAAGATTATTAAAAACATCTAATATTATTTAATTCTAATCACTTTTTTATTGAAAAAAATAATTAAAAAATTTAAACTATTAAACCCTTAATTTTTAATTTCTATAAAAATATGTTTAAACCAGAAGAATATTGTTAAGATATTTTTAATATTAAAAATAAAATATGAAATTTAAAGAACTTATTGATTTACATGTTACAAAAATAAAGAATTCAAGAATTCATGTCAATTATATCTATGAATTTATTAATAAAAATTATATTAAAAGTTTAAGAAAGAGTTTTTTAAGAATTTAACATTTCATGAATTCATTTAATCTATCAAAATGATAAGACTTTTTAAAAAACCTTTAGAATTACAGTGGTGGCCAAAAAAATTGCAATACCC